TGAGAAGTCCCAGAGAAACAGAGCCAATAAGGTATGTATGTATATACATATGTATGTATATGTATATATATGTTTTTATTATATATATGTATAAATATAATATGTATACATGAAGAAGATGGGAATTGGCTCATGCAATTATGGAGGCTGAGAAGTCCTACAATATGTCATTTGCAAGCTGGAGAACTGAGAAAGCTAGTGTTGTAATTCAGTCTGAGTCCAAAGGCCTGAGAACCAGGGGAGCTGAGCTGATAGTGTAATTCTCAGTCCAAGGCTAAAGGCCTGAGAACTTGGGGAAGAGAAGGACATTTGTTGGTGTAAGTTTTGGAGTCAAAAGGGTTGAGAATGAGTAGCTCTGATGTCCAAGGGCAGGAGAAAATGGCTGTATCAGTTGAAGAAGAGCAAATTTATCCTTTCTCTGCCCTTTTGTTCTATCTGGGCCTTCAATGGATTAGAAGATGCCCACCACATTGGTAAGGGTGGATCTTCTTTACTCAATCTACTGATTCAAATGCTAATATCTTCTGGAAACACCCTCACAGACACAGCTAGAGATAACGTTTTACCAGCTATCTGGGCATCCCTTAGCCCAGTCAAGTTGGTATATAAAATTAACCATCACAGATTTTGATTGCGATTGTGCTGAAGCTACAGGTAAGTTGTTAATAGCTTGAGCCTTATAACAGAGATGAATAAACTGAAGCTCAGAGATCCATGGAAGTTAGAATACTAGAGAGAAAAAAACATTGGATAACTTAACAGTTTTCTGTAGTGGTATTCTAACTTGGTTGCACATTGGAATCATCAGAGGATCTTTAAACACTATATGTGTGGCTCCCACCCTGAGATATTCTAATTTAATTGCTCTGGCATGCAACCTGAGCATCAGGATTTTTGAAAGCTCTTCTGATGATTCTAATGTGCAGCAAACTTTGGAACCACTGGTTTAGTGTGCAAATTTACAGTTGTGGAAATTGAGGCTCAGAACTGATAAATGAGTTGCCTAAATATACAAAACTTAAAAATTGACTCACTCTAAACCCAGTGCTTTTCATGTAATGTCATATGAACACTTGTTCAAAAAAATTCATATAAACCTTAAAAATCAACAACCACCATAGCTCCCAACTGAAACTAAATAACTGCCACCTTCTTGCCAACAGAGAATGTTATCTAGCTCTTTGTGTTGTACTGAGCCTAGTTCTATATATGAATTTTCTCAGGGAAGTAACAAAGAGAAAGAACAGAGAGAGGGGGAAGATTAAAAGAAAAAACATGGGCATTAGGACCAGGTGTGTTATTCTACTCTTGGATGCCAAGTCAATAGCTGTCTTTGTTTTGTCAATTTTCAAGCTATAAGAACAAAAGACTATTTGGAGAAACACTATGAAGCCCAAAGCCTTAGGCTTCTGGGTAAAAACACAGACTATCTGATAATATTACTAATTTCAATATTAGCAATTTCTATTTAAATTTGATTTAAAGAAAATTGCTTTTAAACATCACAGGAAAAAAGAACATTGCTCAGCATGCATATTTATTTTCTCTATGGAATTCAACCTCCTTCTGTTTGGAAAATGGCAGTTACAGAACAATAGGTAGAAAACTAATGTTATATAATTTTTAGTTCTTTAAATTAGGTATATTAGAATTTGTGGTGCCTTTTTTTCCAGCATAAGATTTTTTAAGCCCCTCAAGGGCAGAGGCCATGCTTTTATTACTTGTTATAGTCTCATTAGCACAGTGCATGGCACGTGGAGGGACGTCGAGTGTTAAATCGAAATATTTTACGAAGAAGAAAAAGTAAGGGCCATATTGAAAGGTCTCTAGCAAAAGCCACACAGCTTTCACTTTAAGAATCAGACACTGTTCATTTCAAATCTTTTAAAAAAAAATGCACGCCAAATAGATCCTTCACCTTTAAGCTTCATGTTGAACATCTTTCAAAATAAATGTCATAGTTTTATAATTTCTCTCATTTCAAGGCAGTTCATGACAAAAGAAGACTGTCTCCTGTTCAGTTCAGATGTTTGAGCTTTTAGGATTTGTTTATGATTATTGGTGTTTTGTCACAAGGCATCTTTCAAGCTGTCTTTCATGCTGTCTATTGGTTCTCAACTCTTGGAATCACCATGGACAATAAAAAAATCCATTCTCTTGTTTTGAAAATACTGGTGATGCGTCAGAGGCATATTCAGACTCAGTCTTCATATTCCTAAAGCAAGAGTAATTTATCTGAACTGGAGCTGTATGTGGGGTCCACCCTCAAAGCTGTCCTGTTTGGACTGGGTAGAAAGAAGAAAGAGGAAGCAGGAGATCAGCAACATTCTGAAGTTTACTTTTGGGACAGTAGAGGATGAAATGAGACTGCAGACAGATATTTCTTTCTGTTACTTTTATCTCTCAGATTAGAGGAGAAAATCATGATGGAATAAGCATATACTTAATACCTAATTTGGGGATTTTGGAAAACTTAGATCCAAGAGGATGATTGAGGGAGGGGGAGATTAAGGGAAGGGGGTGATTGAAGGAGGGGATGACTGAGGGAGGGGGTGAATGAGGGAGGTTGTGACTGAGGGAGGGGGTGACTGAAGGAAGGGGTGACTTAAGAAGGGGGTGACTGAAGGTGGGGGAGATGACTGAAGGAAGGGGTGACTGAGGGAGGGGGTGGGGCAGCAGAGAAGGAACCATTCCTTGGGGACCATCTTGCCTGGACCTGAATTGTATTCCCCTGCAGTTACCTTTAGGGATTTGACCAAGGTAGGCAAAGAAGCATATAGAAGAGATAAGGCTTCAGTGTGAGATGTAAGCTGCTTTGATCATTTTGATGTTGCTGTGGATAGGTAATTCAAAGGGGCTTTTATTGGGAATTGCTTTTGAAAAACTATCAATTGATAATAAAGAGCCAGTTTATCTCTTGATATTTGCTCAATTAATGTTTGCTTTCTTGAGAGAGCAAGGGTTTTTCAAATCACCCTTATAGAGCGAGTATCATTTCTTGATCTTATTCATAGAGTCATATATTGAAAAGGTCACCTATGATGATGCCGCTGACTGTGTCATCATTGGCTTGTTATCAGAAACACTGCAGATCACATGACTCAATATTCTCTTACATAAAAATTTACCTACACAGCTAGCTTTCAGGCTTTGAGCGAATCCCTCTGTCACGTCTACGGATATGCCATTTGGGTGAAAAATACAATCCTAAGGGAGTGAGCTAGATTTTTGAAACGCAGACTCTGAAGCATTGCAAACTCAGCTCTAAAGCAGTGTAGGCTTTGAAGTTCACCATGTTCGGGTTTGATTCTTGTCCTGTTACTTATTACCATGAGACTTTGGACACACTTCTTTGAACTTTAACGTCATCCTCTGTAAAATGGGGATTTGAATACTTACTACTCAGGGTTACCATGAGGATTACATGTTGCAAACTCAGCTCTAAAGCAGTGTAGGCTTTGAAGTTCACCATGTTCGGGTTTGATTCTTGTCCGGTTACTTATTACCATGAGACTTTGGACACACTTCTTTGAACTTTAATGTCATCCTCTGTAAAATGGGGATTTGAATACTTACTACTCAGGGTTACCATGAGGATTACATAAGAAAGTATACACATAGCACCCAGGACAGTGCCTGGCACATTGTGGGTTCTCAATACATGAGAACTATTATTTTTATTTTAGTCTACTACCACAAGGTAACTCTGTAGCTTGATAAACAAACAAGAAATGGTCTTAAATAAAAACAAAGACCTTACAAGATTGATATCTTCAAACTTCTAGAATTTGGACCTGTAAATTCCTATACTTTTCATTACCAAAGTTTGTCTAGGAAGTGCTTAGTCATCACTTCAGAATGAGATGAAAGATGAAATGAGATGAAAAATTACGGTATTAATATTGAGTTAAATAGGTATTTTATTACTGAGTTCTATTGAGTATTGTAGGAACAATTAGGATTAAGTAAAAAAAAAAATGACTTTTTGATTCTTAGGAATAAAAAAACCCGTGGAATTGACTCCTACATTTAGACTTGATCCTGGAGAAATTTAAGAAGAGAACTGACAGTTTAAAAATAAATCTTTAAACAAAAACTGGACATGCCAAATGGCCATCAATTCCCTTACATGGAATATTGGCCTGAACGACTTCTATTCTAGATCATTTCTATAGCTGGGATTTTAGGAGTTAGTGGGAATAGCCCATTAGCATGACTACCATGGTGCACAGGGGGCACTTTTTTTTGAGAAGCTTCCTTTCCCTCAAATAAACCTTGAAATTGAACTTGCCACAATTCAAGGAAAATGGAGTGACACTGGAGCTTCTTCAGCTGAAAATACCCATCTCGTCTAAAGCATGTAAACATAGGCTATGATGAGCCAAAATAGATAACGAGTGTGAAGGAATCTGGGGAGGGGAGATAAGCTGTTAAGAACAAAGGGAAAAAATTTTATGTGGCAAAAAGAATAAGAAAAAAACTCCCTTTCCTAATGTTCACCTCCTTGGAAATCAGGAGAAACTTCACTTTGTAGGTAGGAGTTAAATCCTCAGCTATATAAGAATGATCTTTTTTACTTAGCTGTCTCACCGCCACAGGGTACAATGAACATTAGATATTGGATTTGAAATTGCAAGCAGCCATTTCCTGAGGAGGGATGAGGAACAGTGGTTACAGCACATGAGGGGGTGTGACAGTGCCCTTTCGTGCCCAATTGTGGCAAATCGCCACTGGCTACCAATAAGGAGGCAGACATGGCCCTAAACAGGTTTCGTGCATTAGCTCATTTAATTCTCACAACAGCCTTAGGAAGACGGGACTATTATTTACCCCATTTTACAGATGAGGAGATGGAAGTTTAGCGAACGTAAGTGATATCTTCAACATATATTTTTCAGAGATGAGATTTGAACCCAACCTGCCTGCCCTCCGAATCCTATGGCTTTAACCTTGGGTCCATTAAACTACAAGTTGAATGAGTCTTGTCCTCTGCTGAATGACTGAATATTTTCAGCCTGGAAAAATATGACTATGTGGAGACCCAGAGCTGAGGTGAGAACCCAGGCATACTGCCAGCCTTAAAGAGAGTAGAGTGAGGTTACTTTAGGACCAGAAATTTGGAAACTTGGTCAAGCTCTTCAGTGCTTCTGCTAGGGTCAGACAGATGGCGTTTGGATTGCTCTCTGCCTCTTAACAGCTATGTGATCTTAGAGAAGTCAAATAAGCTTTCTGAGCCTCAGTTTCTTATCTGTAACAATGTGATTAGTAAGAGCCCCTGCCCTGCCTACAGTAGAGTTACTTCTGCTGCTCAGCATCCATTGACTCTTCTCCTGGTCAAAGGGTCCCTAATTTCCTTTAAGGTTCTAACTTATTCTTAGTTTGTATGCTTTGGGTGTCCTTGAATGTGACTCAGATCTAGCTAATAAGAGTGTTGCATTACTTTGGCCATAGACATGTGACCTGGTGGGACTCAATGAGATGCAATGGGTCCATAGCCCAGGTTCCCGGGCAACCATTCATTGCTGAGAATGAAACTAACATAGAGGAAGTCAGAGTCAAGAAATAAGGAGAGACTCAGTATCATTTGGGGCCCTGAATCAAGCTTTACCTGAAGCCAGACTTATCCCAGACCTTTTCGGTTAAATGAGTAGTTATGCTTGTGTATTACAACTGAAAATTTCCTAAGCATACTATATAGCCATTGTAAGGGTAAAATATGGTTTTGTATATCAGCAAACACTTAATGAAGTTTCTAACATACATTAAATGCACAATAATATTAGCTATTTTAATTTTTCTCAAAGTCTAACCTTATGCTTTGGGAACTTACCTGTTTTTGTACTTTTCCTTTTTTTATATCTATTTTGACTTCCTTTAGGTTTTAGAAATATTCTTTATTCAACAACTAGTGCTACAGCTAATAAACATGAAAACTTCAGCCTAACTAATAATCACATATATAAATAAAAATGAGATTAACTCTCTGGTTAAAGTGTACAATTGTGTTGTGTTCCTGAAATCAACTTGATAATACTATCAAAATCCTTAAAAATTTCCAATTTGATTCAGAAATTTACTTCTGACACTCTCCCTTACAAGAACTACATAAAATTCAGACAAATATTGTGTGTCACAATATTATTTGTAATAGTGGAAAATTGGAAGAAAAAAATCCAAGTGTTGAACAACAGGGAAATGGTTAAGAAAATTATGAGCCAGTTATAGAACTGAATATCGTATACTCATTAAATAAAGATATTTACAAAGAGTTGTTTATAAAAGGAAATTAACATGCTATACTGCTAAATGAAAAAGGGATATTGAATGTACACATATTATGAATTTAGTCATATAAAATATTTTATTATATTGTATAATGTATACACAGAAAAGAAATGAAAAAAAAAACAAAAACAAAGTATTTGTCAGAGAGACTTGGAGTGCCAGTCATGTGCAATATGTCCTGTAAAAGTTAGAATTTGTTATCTTTTGTATCAGAGTGATGGTTTGGAAAAAAACAAAAACAAAGTATTTGTCAGAGAGACTTGGAGTGCCAGACATGTGCAATATGTCCTGTAAAAGTTAGAATTTGTTATCTTTTGTATCAGAGTGATGGTTTGAGCTGTTCAGATGCATTACAGCTATATCTAGGAAAAATATTTGGGCTGGTGAGCCAGGATCCCAATACAGGCCTGATACATCAGTTTTCCCTGGCAGGGATTTAAAGGAAACAAACTGAAGAACATTTTCCCAGACAGTCAGGGTAAGTGTGAAATTAGGATCCCTCCTATATGGTATTCCACCCACCTGTTTCATTTCCCTCCTTCAGCTTCCACTTAAAAGTGTAACTGTTGATGTACTATTGGTGGGAATGTAAAATGGTATAGCCACTACATAGTGGAATATAGTGTGACAGATCCTCATGAAATTAAAAATTGAATTACCATATGATCCAGCAACTTCACATCTGAATATATACTCTAAAGAATTTAGAGCAGGATCTCAAAGGGCTGTTTGTATGCCCATGTTCATAGCAGCATTATTCACAACAACCAAAAGGTAGAAGCAACCCAGGTGACCATGGATGGATGGCCATGGATGTGGTATATTCTCATATATACATTGGAACATTATTCAGCATTAAAAAGAAAAGAAATTCTGACACATGCTACAACATGGATGAAACTTGAGAACATTATGCTAAGTGAAATAAACCAGATACAAAAGGACAAATATTGTATGATTCTACTTATACTCACATGAGACTCCTAGAGTAGTCAAATTCACAGAGACAGAAAATAAGGTGGTGGTTTCCAGGAGCTAAGGTAAGAGGGGATGGGGAGTTGTTTAATGGGTATAGAGTATCAGTTATGCCAGATGAAAAGTATTTTGAAGATAGATGGTGGTGATGGTTGCAGAAAAACATGGATGTACTTAATACCAGTGAACTGCACACTTAAAAATGGTTAAGATGGGGGGGCTGACCCCATGGCTCACTCGGGAGAGTGCGGTGCTGGGAGTGCAGTGGCGCTCGCGCCGCGGGTTTGGATCCTATATAGGGATGGCCGGTGCGCAGCGCGGTGCGGATGACACCAAGCCAAGGGTTCCGATCCCCTTACTGGTCACAACCCCCCCCCCCAAAAAAAGGTTAAGATAGTACATTTTATGTTATATGTATTTTACCATGATTTTAAAAAATGGAAAAATAAATGTAACTGTTGTATTGGTGGGTTGAGAAACCCCCCAGATGACTATTAGGAGAGGTACGTCCCAGAGGAAGTATCTGTTCTAATACAGGGGTACTTGAAAAAGTTTGTGGTACAATAGAATTCAAAGATAATATGAATCTTCCCATAAATGTTTTAAAATACCCTTGTATTGTAACAAAACCATGTTTTCTGGTTTATTACCATTTAAATTTTTGCAACTGTACTCTCCACAATAACAATAGATACCATTTATTGAGTACCTTTTCTATGTCTGGTACTTTACACATTTTATATAATACAGCATGCTGTGAGTTAGGCATTATTATCACCATTTTGCAAAAGAAGAAACAGGCTCAGGGAGGGTAAATGGCTTGCCCAAAGGCACACAGCAAGTGAATACCAGAGGCAAGGTGTGGACCTTGGCTTCCCAGATTCTGGCTGCATCTCCGTGAGATACTCTGGTCTCTTGCAGGTACCAGGTTCCAACTTGTCTCTATGGCATCAAGCCTTCCAATTCTCCAGGGGATTGGGCTAGAAGTTGCTCCTATGGTCGTCTGTTTAGATCTCCTGCCCTTCCGGTTCACTGCCACAGCAGCTGCCCAAGGGCTAGTTGCTTGGGGCAATGGATTGATGCCATCTTATCTAAGACAGAGGAGGGGCTCTTCTAGGTTTGCTTGCTTCTGCTGCTGAGGGACCAGNCATATATACATTGGAACATTATTCAGCATTAAAAAGAAAAGAAATTCTGACACATGCTACAGCATGGATGAAACTTGAGAACATTATGCTAAGTGAAATAAACCAGATACAAAGGACAAATATTGTATGATTCCACTTATACTCACATGAGACTCCTAGAGTAGTCAAATTCACAGAGACAGAAAATAAGGTGGTGGTTTCCAGGAGCTAAGGTAAGAGGGGATGGGGAATTGTTTAATGGGTATAGAGTATCAGTTATGCCAGATGAAAAGTATTTTGAAGATAGATGGTGGTGATGATTGCAGAAAAACATGGATGTACTTAATACCACTGAACTGCACACTTAAAAATGGTTAAGATGGGGGCGCTGACCCCATGGCTCACTCGGGAGAGTGCGGTGGCACTCGCGCCACGGGTTCGGATCCTATATAAGGATGGCCGGTGCGCAGCGCGGTGCGGATGACACCAAGCCAAGGGTTCCGATCCCCTTACTGGTCACAAAAAACCAAAAAAAAAAAGGTTAAGATAGTACATTTTATGTTATATGTATTTTACCATGATTTAAAAAAATGGAAAAATAAATTTAACTGTTGTATTGGTGGGTTGAGAAACTCCCCAGATAACTATTAGAAGAGGTACGTCCCAGAGAAAGTATCTGTTCTAATACAGGGGTACTTGAAAAAGTTTGTGGTACAATAGAATTGAAAGATAATATGAATCTTCCCATAAATGTTTTAAAATACCCTTGTATTGTAACAAAACCATGTTTTCTGGTTTATTACCATTTAAATTTTTGCAACTGTACTCTCCCCAATAACAATAGATACCATTTATTGAGTACCTTTTCTATGTCTGGTACTTTACACATTTTGTATAATACAGCATGCTGTGAGTTAGGCATTATTATCACCATTTTGCAAAAGAAGAAACAGGCTCAGGGAGGGTAAATGGCTTGCCCAAAGGCACACGGCAAGTGAATACCAGAGGCAAGGTGTGGACCTTGGCTTCCCAAATTCTGGCTGCATCTCCGTGAGATACTCTGGTCTCTTGCAGGTACCAGGTTCCAACTTGTCTCTATGGCATCAAGCCTTCCAATTCTCCAGGGGATTGGGCTAGAAGTTGCTCCTATGGTCATCTGTTTAGATCTCCTGCCCTTCCGGTTCACTGCCACAGCAGCTGCCCAAGGGCTAGTTGCTTGGGGCAATGGATTGATGCCACCTTATCTAAGACAGAGGAGGGGCTCTTCTAGGTTTGCTTGCTTCTGCTGCTGAGGGACCAGGAGGCATTTCCCTGGCTTCTTGATGTTATGTGTGGCTCTGAGTTAAAACAGTTGTCCAGGGTATTCATTCATTCATTCATTCAATAAACATTTATTGAGCTATTACTCTGTGTTAGGTACTGTCTTAGGCACTGGAGATTCAGAGGTGACTAAGGAAGACCACCTGGATCTTATACTGTGGTGGGGGTCAATAATCATATAAACAAAGATACAATTAAAATAATTTCAGGTGGTGGTAAATGCTGATAAGAAAATTAAACATTAAAGAGCAAGTCAGGGTGGAGGTGCTACCGTAGCTTGAGTGATAAGGGGAGAGGGGATTCTGGCTGCATCTCCGTGAGATACTCTGGTCTCTTGCAGGTACCAGGTTCCAACTTGTCTCTATGGCATCAAGCCTTCCAATTCTCCAGGGGATTGGGCTAGAAGTTGCTCCTATGGTCATCTGTTTAGATCTCCTGCCCTTCCGGTTCACTGCCACAGCAGCTGCCCAAGGGCTAGTTGCTTGGGGCAATGGATTGATGCCACCTTATCTAAGACAGAGGAGGGGCTCTTCTAGGTTTGCTTGCTTCTGCTGCTGAGGGACCAGGAGGCATTTCCCTGGCTTCTTGATGTTATGTGTGACTCTGAGTTAAAACAGTTGTCCAGGGTATTCATTCATTCATTCATTCAATAAACATTTATTGAGCTATTACTCTGTGTTAGGTACTGTCTTAGGCACTGGAGATTCAGAGGTGACTAAGGAAGACCACCTGGATCTTATACTGTGGTGGGGGTCAATAATCATATAAACAAAGATACAATTAAAATAATTTCAGGTGGTGGTAAATGCTGATAAGAAAATTAAACATTAAAGAGCAAGTCAGGGTGGAGGTGCTACCGTAGCTTGAGTGATAAGGGGAGAGGGGTTTCTGAAAGGAGAAATGAATCATGAAGTGGAGCCAGCCATATGACTCACTGAAGGCAGAACATTCGAGGCTGAGGAAACAGCAAATGCAAAGACTCTAAGGTTAAAGTGAGCTTTACATGTTCAAACCAGAGAATAGAAGCTGTTTGCCTGGAATGGAGTGAATGACAAGCAGTAGGGGCAGAGGTTGGAGGTGCAGGTGAGGCTTGGTCATCATGAATATTTTGGCCAAGGCAAGGAATTTGGGTTTTATTCAAAGTGCTCCAGGAAGGCATGTTCAAACCAGAGAATAGAAGCTGTTTGCCTGGAATGGAGTGAATGACAAGCAGTAGGGACAGAGGTTGGAGGTGCAGGTGAGGCTTGGTCATCATGAGGCTTGGTCATCATGAATATTTTGGCCAAGGCAAGGAATTTGGGTTTTATTCCAAGTGCTCCAGGAAGTCATTGGAAGTTTCTAAGCCAGGGAGGGGTATTCTTTGATTTATGTCTGGACTGAAGGGGGTCAAGAGTGAAAACAGAGCCACCCAGCTAGGGGGCTATTGCCAGGGTCGAAGGGAGGGATGATGGTGGCTAGGACAGCTTGTCTGGTACACAAGATTCTCTTTCCTTGAAGGACTGTTCCTTCAGAGCAAGCAATTCTGTAGCTTTTCTCCCTTTCCTGCGCCCCTGGAGGCTGGGCAGGACAGGGAAGCCCTCTACTTCAAGCCTGCAGCCCTATCTGCTTCTCATGGGTCCTCATGGTAGTCCACATGAGGGCTATGGTCAAGCTGCCCTCTCTCAAGCTTTTTCAGGCCCTATTGCTGCAGAGCCCAGGAGGATCTGCTACCCAGAGCTGTCCCTCTTGGTCTCTAAGAAGATTTGGGCTTGCCTGTCCACTAGGTCTTTAGGTGCCCACTTTGTCACATGTGCTCAACTCAAGCATGGACATGATGATTAAAAAAAAAAAATCAGTTGCTTAGAAAAAAAAATGCTTCAAAATATTTTTGGACACCAGATAGCTCTTCTTAAACAGAACTTGATGAGTTAAGTGTAAATGAATCAGAAACATGTGCATTGGATTTCTCTTCGCAGGCACTTGGGTTTAAAAATAAAAGGCAGGGGTTAGAGGAACGAGGAAAGAGTGGCTGGGTTTTGCAAAGACCTGAATGAGAACTTCACAGAATGGAGGGCCCCAAACGTGGTGTGATTTTCCCCTGCTCTAATTTCTTTCATCCTCAGACCGTGAGAGCTGCTTGATGTATGTGGCATTCTGCTTCATTTTTCCTTGCAGACACTATGTTCCTGGTATTCCTTGTTTCCTTGCCAAAGCCCTTGTTATGTTGTGGATTAAAACTGTTTCACCAAAGCCATTTTGACTTCAACATCCTAAGAAGTTCACAGACTTTGTTCTCGTGGGATCCAGGCTTGCGATGGCAAGATCTGACTCTATCTTTTAGGCTGTGCTGTGACCCTGTGCAGCTAAGAGAAGACACTATCTTGGCACCATTCAGAAACTCATACAAGCTCCATGATCTTGGGCAAGTCAGCAGTTATAATATCTCAATTTCAGCTTTCTCCTCTGTAAAATGGGGGACACCTCCTTCCTTATCTACTTCCGGAAGTTGTTTGGGAGGCTGTGTAAATTGCAGAGCCCATATAAATAAAATGGCCGATTACAATGAATGTTTCAGAAAGGTTGTAAATGGCTTTGAAATAGTACATTCAACTTATCTGGAAATGAAATGTGGTAGAGGAGACAGAGAAATGAATTCGAGTTCTCTTCTTATCTTTTATGCGGAGGGAGGGTCAGGACATAATCTGAGTTGGAATGAGGTGAAAGAAGAGTTAGAAAACAGCATAGCTTCCTGGCCCTATTACATGGCTGTCATGACTTAGAACCCTAGAGTTTTAGAGCTTGGAGAGCATCTTGGTAATCTCTTTATTTCGCACTTGAGAAATCTGAGGGCAAAGGGAGAATTGACTGTCCTAGGCTGTATAGCTACCTCCTTAAAAACGTCATGATGCCTATGGCTGAGAGAATAAGATACACTATTAGCGGTGGGAATGTCACAAGGTATGGGGTTCGGTTATTTTTAAAGCATTTTCTGAGCATCTTGTATTTTTATTTATTTACTTAGATCTCTAGGGCTTAGCACAGTTCTTGGTATGCAATAGGTACTCCCTAAATATTTGCAGACTGAGAAAATGATCAAAGAGTGCCAGGTAGGAGGGTGAGAAATAGAAAATAAAAAGGAATCATGATTCCTGTCCTGGAGGAGCTTACAGTCTAGCTATGGAAACAAGATGTATATGAAAAAAACTTAAGAGCATTGCAAGTGAGACAAAGTGACATCATGCACATAAGTGCAAGTAGAAGGAAATAAAGTTTTTTGTTTTTTTAAGGAAGACAGATTTTTTAAAGAAAATGGGATAATTCAAAACACATGTTGGTATCCATGTGGTAGACCTGAAGTTTTTCTCGGTCATTAACCCCTCCTTGAGTAAGTGGCCCATGACTCAAGCCAGACCAGTCACTCCAGGATAACACTCTGATTTCTTGGCACAGGATGGGCATATGACCTTGTAAATAGGACCAGCCACAATGCTTCCATGTTACATGGTATACACATAATAGAGAGAGGATCTTTTTTTCCGTTTGGATTATTAGTCTGCAGTTGTACACTTGGAATAGTCAGTGACCTTCTTTCCCAAGATGCAGAGAGACACTGGGAATGATGTCAATGGATAGTCAGAAGTAGAGTCAAGAGAAGGAGAAAGGAGCAGATATAATGATGTAACTTAAGTCCCTGGGTTCATCCATGCCTGAAGGCCAGAGAGACACTGGGAATGATGTCAATGGATAGTCAGAAGTAGAGTCAAGAGAAGGAGAAAGGACCAGATATAATGATGTAACTTAAGTCCCTGGGTTCATCCATGCCTGAAGGCCGTCCTTGTTATGTGAGTCCAGTTACATGAACCAATAAGTTCTTTTTCTCTAAAAGGGTTTCTGTCACTTTTATTCAAAAACATTGAATACAACTGGTAAGGAGCTTGGTAGTCTGTCAGTACTGGGTGGTGAAGCGGTGTGGGTTGATGAAGATGAATGTATGGAAGCCAGTGATGTTTGAAGGGCCTCTTCATCTGGGGAGGAATTTAGGTTTGAGTGCTAAGTCATGAAGAAGAGCGGGCAGTTCCTCTGGTCTTATCTGAGGAGCAAGGAAGGCTACCTTCTTATCACCTCACTGACCCAATATCACCTCTGTCTGCAGACCCCAGTTCCTGAAAGATCCACGACTGGATTCTACCATTTGTATGAAGTCAGAAGATGTCAAGGTACATTTAGTGCAATACTAACTCCTCTAACACATGTAAAAGAGCTGCATATTTATTTTCTTTACTTCAGTACTTTTTAGATTGAACTCTCTGAATACACTCAAAATCTGAAAGAGGCAGTTGGAGTATATAGTAGTTCCTAAACCTCTTTGTTCAAAGACCTCTTTTGTTTGTTTGCTTTACTTTGTTTGGAGAAGAATATCCTAAGAACATTCTTTGATAGGCCTTGGGCTGAGGCATGGTTTCCTAGAAGACCCCTGCACAGTAACATATCACTTAGGAAAAGTAATGCGTCATTTTCATCTTTCCTCCTGTTGGAAAACACTGGCGATACAGAGGTGAGAAGAGTTGGAATGCGTGGTGAAGAGACCATGAACCCAGTGTTGATAGAGGAGGAGGAAAGAGGGGTGGGGGATGAGTTCATAACTAGGCCAAGGGGGGCAACAACAACTCAGTGGAAGAGCAGACCCCAAACTTCTTGGTAACCAACTCAGCAAGCCAGGGAGGTTGTGATGCATCCCTCTTCTAAGTTAAGGAAACACTCTAACACTCTCAAGTTTTGCAGCTCTTATTAGCTACTAAACACGAGTAAAATGATTAATTGGGAGAGACAGAGTTTCTTTTTCTTTTTAACACTGAATACTAAAAAAAAATGGATCACATGGTTCCTTGTATAAGAGACAATGAATAACATAATGGATGATCTTAACAGCGAATTTACAAAAGATGCAGAAACAGTCTCCATATGGCCGATTCATCTATTGACATTCAACAAAAACCAGGGACATAGTATAAAATCACAGCTCTTCGTAGGAAGGTCTGTAGGAACTAAGGTCTTGTAGCCTGACACATGGCTTAAGTGATCTCATTCATACAGGGATAGAAAGGGCTTAAGGTCTCTTGGGAGTGACAGCCAAAAAATTAACCCAGTGGCAACCACCAATGAACACAGAGTAGGTTGTCCCCTTGGCTAACTGCTACTACAGAAAAATGAGAATGGGGTCCCGAGGGAAAGGTATGTAGGGTGATTTTGACAGAAGGGGGAGGGAAAGAAAGGGAAGGCAGGATGGAAAAGCTCAGGTGAAAGCAGAATAAAGACTGGTGATGAGTCAACAGGATGTGTCTTGGAAGCCACAGAATTAGATTAAGACATAGGTAAGACTCTCACAGCCTAATACTGGGCTAGTTCCATGAGGCCTAGCTCTGAGGCCCCAAATCAGAAATTGAAGGAACAATAAAATTGGCCAGAGTTTAAAATGATTATATTTCCAAATAGAAGAGAATTCCAGTACTCAGAGAGTGTTATTTATGACTCAAATACAATTGAAAAATGTCAAATAAATAAATTTCATCCCAAGTTTCATTGTTTACTGATAACAAAAGTTCTCTGTTATGGTTGTTTCAGAGAAGGCCAGTAGCTAGATACTTCTATGACTCAAATACAATTGAAAAATGTCAAATAAATAAATTTCATCCCAAGTTTCATTGTTTGCCGATAACAAAAGTTCTCTGTTATGGTTGTTTCAGAGAAGGCCAGTAGTTAGATACTTTTCAAGGTTATAGCACCTTTTTTGGATGTCTTTCATCAAATACTATGCCTTTAATGGGTTATTTTGCATGTACAGTCCTGCACATGACCTCCCAGCTGTGAATGTCCTATTCAGGTTCCCTATATCTCTACCCACGGCCTAAAACTCTGACTTATTAAACATTGTACCATTTGCTCAAATGTTGGGTTTGGTCTCAGAATATCTATGAATCTTTAATTCACACAAAACCCATGAGCCTATAGAAGCATTTATTACTACTATTTTTAATAATATTAAACTATCATGGAAAGAGAGATTTGGAGCAGAGAAAGATATAAGAGAAACTGTTCAGAATGGCTATGATTTAAATGGGGATATCACAGAAAAATACTAAAAGGTATGTGATGATAGGGGCAGAGCTTGAGGGCTGGAAGGGGGGGAGGCTTGGGGAAGGGTAATGCTGTTTACTCTGAAAAACCAAAGTGGGAGAGGAGAATACATATAGGTTTTACAGATCCCAAACAAGAGGAACCATAGAAAATAGACTGAGTCACAGAAGGGAATTTTGAAGCCATCTTGTTAACAGCAAAAAGTAGTCACTTAAAAATAAGAAAACTGAAGCCCAAGTAGACTGTCATTTTCCTAAGCTCAGATAGTGGCAGAGCTAAGGTTAGAATCTAAACCTCTAGACTCCAAGTTCGGTGCTCTATCTGCCATGCTATGCGGAAGGGCTGGAGTGTGAGAAGAGCCGTTTTGCTATCCTGAGAACTCATTGGCTTTGAGGGGCTGAAGAGCACAAGGGAGATTGGATATGCTTGGGAAATTTCTCCAAATCAACAGATACAGAGGGAAGGAGAATGTACCCAGACTGCAAACTTTTTGAAATTTGCTTCCGGAGTCTTAATGAGCTCCTGAAAAACCAGAGCTGCTGGAAAACACTGAGAATCCTCTAAGTTTGGGAGGTCTGAAAGGCAGAGTAGGCTTACATTGCGTGAAAAATGCTCATGCCAGGCCAGGCAGGCACGCAGCCAGCAGGCCCGGGTGTTCATATTTCAGAAAAAAGACAACAATATCGATGGAATCCTTTCGCAGAGGAAAAGAGGCTCCAGTGTATTGAGTAAGTAGCACAGCTCAGCTTCTTTAGAGACAGGACAAATCTGCTGTGGTCACTTGACCTCATTCTGTGACTTTCCCATCATGGTTTGACCTACATTTACCAACCCTTTCCCCAGAGTGCCCCAGCATCTTTCTGCCACTAGGATTTGGGGACAGCTCCTATAGGAATCTGGGTCTCTGTCACCATCTTTAGTGGGGCTTCAGTATTACCTGGCTGGAGGGGGCAAAAAGACCCCCACAAACACTATCTCTCCTCTTTTCCTTGCTCTCTTTGATCTTTACAAAACATAATGACACACAATGGGCAGCCTCAGAGGTCAGACTTTCATTGTTAGTTTTCTCCTTTAAGGGGTCTTTAGGACTAGAACTGTTGGAAGCCCTTTGGGATGGAGGTTAAGGTACAACAGCAGGTATCAGAGGGACTATGACAAATGAGAATGGTGTCAGGAGAGACTTGTTCAAATAAACAGTTGGATGCTTGGAAGTACGACCTGAAGACCTCAGATCTTTCCCCTCTGTTCCCCGCCCCCCTCAAAAACAGAAGATTAAGTTTGCTGTGAACACGAGCTGATGAAAAGAATTCAAATAGTGCTTTGAATAGGACTCCAGTCAGACCCACAGGAGAGCTACAAATTGCTTTTGGAGACACCCGTCTCCCTTTACAGAAAGTTAGCATAAAGCCCACATATCTTCTTTCTATAAGGTACTAACTTGTAAATTAACCTTTAATGGTGTATAAATGATGTTCTGAAAGAACTGCTTATGCAGCTATATTTATGATCTAGAAAATTGCAAATATTTACAAGATTATAGGTGTTAATGGTCTGTCAAAAATGTTTGTATATTGTACATACATTAAACCCCGGTTTCAGACCACCCTGGTATAAAAGACCACCACTCTCTAGTCCCATATAGTGTTTCACTTTGATTCCATATATGCCAATCCCTATAATTAGCCTGCTCCCTAATATAGATCAAGTCCGCTTTATAGGGAATTCTCCCGATAGTTTTCATTTAGTTTAAATCCAGTACCCAGGCTGCCTATGTAAACTGTTTGCTAAATGGCCCAGGATGGCCAATCGATCTTATGTCAGCAATGGCCTGTGAATGTGTCCGTCTTGTTTCTGAGTGGCCCCCACTGTAGGGCTTAAGTGCCCCTTGTTTGATTGCTTTCCGGAAATAAAATGAAGCATACATGCATGCTCCTGTGATTCGGCCTCTCTGCTAATGTTTGGTCACTGGAGTATTAAAATGTACATAAGCTGCAGACATAATTCATCTCAAAGAGCTGCTTATTGTTGCAACAGCACCTTAACTATGGTGCTTCACAATAGAAAAGGACATCAGACAAAGGGGGAAAATCTCCTCTCTCCTGTAATTGTTAATCCTATTGGGCTGTTTCTCTGAACTATCTTGCTGTTCCCTGAGGGGGTGTGGCAGGAAGAAAATAAAAAGGTCACAGGTTGTTTTGAAATGGTTCTTCCATCTTAGTTTATTATCTCATTTGCACATATTCATTAATGTCAAACTGTTTCCATGGCTGTCTCAAGATGATCAGTCTCCTGAGGCATTTGCCAGAGCTGTGTCTGTCTGCTTTGCAGGAATTTATAGAGCAAGCTTATTTTCAAAAGCTTCAAAAGGAACTGCCTTCCCACCTACTCCCACAAAAACATGCAGGAATATGGTCTCTGAAGTCCTGATGTGAAGAGAGTAACTTCTGAATTTCTATATAAATTTCCAAATAATCAGTCCCTCCCACTCCATCCACGCTGCCCCCCAACCCCCCCAAAAAAGTCCCACCAAAAACCAAAAAACCAGAGCAGGGAAATAATAAAATCAATTTTCCCATGAGTCCTTTAACAAGCCCTGATGATACACACTTAATTTTCTTAAAAATAAAATAGGTGTTTGGGTGGCCACGACGGATTGAAACCATTGAAATTGCTTCACAGGTCTTAAATGAACCAGGCCGGATGGCTTCAGGCCCCAAATGAGAAGCAGAATGCCCCCAGATGGAAGAGACAGATTGACGGATTGAAACCATTGAAATTGCTTCACAGGTCTTAAATGAACCAGGCCGGATGGCTTCAAGCCCCAAATGAGAAGCAGAATGCCCCCAGATGGAAGAGACAGATTGGTGGCCACTCTAAGGAATCGGAAACTGTTGGAGAGAGAGTAGCCCCCATCCTCTTCAGTCTCTCTCTGAGATGATTCTCAGAGCTACCAAGCCTTTCGACCTGCCTAGTTTTGGAAAAGAGTTGTTAAAATGATATTAGTATTCTTAGAGGGCTTGGACCTAGAGAATTCCATTGGAACTGTTCTGGAAATCTCTCCATTTTGAAATGCCTTTCAGATTCCTCAGCCTAATGACTCCCCTTCTGGGATCCTGGCCCTTGAGGACCCAGGCAGGGAGAAATGGGCTTCTTGAAGATATTCTCAACATGTCAGAAACACTTACTGGAGTTTTAGAGCTAACTGGGTTCAGACTGCAAACAGGAGCTAGAATATATTTTCTTTCTTTTAACTCAAATGCTATCAACTGAATGTGTTTATGTTGGTTTTCTTACAGTGGCAGTTTTTGATGAATAACAAAATAAGGAAGCTATTTCTCAATAACTGCATTTATCGTATAGACAATATCATTTAAAATATAGTATCTGGGAGGAGGAGAAGATAACAATGAAAAGTGGGGAGGCACTGGCTTAGGGATGGGACTCTGTGCAGGCTACTGAGCACCAGATCACAGCTTCTTTTATTCAGGTGCCAAATGAGGGAACTGAAAAGTGAATGCAACATGCAGATCCTATTTAGGGATAGATTCCACTCTCTGTTCAATTACCTTCTATGTTTATCTAGGAAAACAAATGGCTGAACAGCCAAATGTACTATAATTGTGAGTTCTCAAAAGAAAGGAATTAAAGTCAGCCTTCTGTGGTTCTCTTTTGTGCAGAAGAAGCCAGTATTAAAATTAGGAAGCCACCCAAGCACTAGGAGGTGAGACTGGGCCCTGGCTGTTCCCTAGTGTTGTTGAGGAGGGAGGTGACTGGTGTAGTCACACAAACAGCCATGCCTCTATGTGCCTGACGAGGCTGGCAGGGTCTGGGAGAGATTCATCAATTGTTTCAAACTCTTTTTTTTTTTTTTAACATTATGGGTTTGGCAAAAACCCAGACATACTTTACCAAGTACTTTTTTCCTTCATTTTTAAATCCCATGTGTATTTCAAATGCAATCCGTATGTTACTGATTCATTTACACTTAACTCATCAAAAATGCTGGTTGGGATGAATTAGTTGATGCCCAAGGAGAAGTATGGTCCTCTTTCAAAGGAGATGTTAGAAACCTTTTCCCCACCCCAACCCCATTTGCCAAATGAAGTTCAAAGTGAATCAGCACCCCCGCCCCATCCCATCACCACCACCAATTTTTAATAACATTAAAAAGGGCAATTCCAAGGAGCACGAAATTTAGGGAAATTCTTCATTCCACTCTCCCTCATTTAAAAATGTTGTGTATTTTAAGCGAAATCTAATCCATATGCTTCTGATTCATTTACACTTAAATCATTAAAATGTTGTTTTGAACAAGCCACTTGGTGAACAGAAATGAATATGAGCCTTATTTTATTATTATTTCTTCAAGCTCTTTTCTGCAAAACAGGAAGTCACATTGGGAAAGCCAACTATCCAAAAGTTTAAATTTGGTATGATGATTCTTAAGCCACCATGGTTTAGATAAATCTATTTTTGCCTATCCTCACACATGGATCCCAGTGTAGCTCTGTGCTTAAAGGGCAGATGTATGCTCCTAATTGCATGTAATCAGCTAAATTGCATCTGCAAGTAAGTTACTTCCTTTGAGTAATTTGAACAAAGATTTTGTGTGTGTGTGTGTGTGTGTGTGTGTGTGTTTTCGGGGGGGATGATACCACTACTTCCTTTGAGTAATTTGAACAAAGATTTTGTGTGTGTGTGTGTGTGTGTGTGTGTGTGTGTGTGTGTGTTTTGGGGGGGGATGATACCAACAAGTAAGTTACTTCCTTTGAGTAATTTGAACAAAGATTTTGTGTGTGTGTGTGTGTGTGTGTGTGTGTGTTTTCGGGGGGGATGATACCACATATTTTGGACCCTAAAGATACCTGGTAGAACATTATTGGAAAAGGAACTACATGCTGAGAAACAGAAGAGAATTGACCTGAAACTGTTTATATATTTGCCACAAGCATTAATGGGAAACACATGGAATATAGTTTTCTTTAATTAGTCCTACTTAAAGACTACTACATAAGGTCATTGAACCAGTGTCATCATGCTCAGTGACAAACTAGAAGGGTGAGTCATTGCTGTCTCCTTTTCTTCTGTGTCCTCTGTGATAGCAGATGCCAGTGAACTTCCCTCTCTTTCTTATCCTTTTTGATTCCCTTTCCTGAATTTCACAGTAGCTCATGGTATAAATTCTACTGGGAACACCTCCCTCCCCAACTCTTTCATCTTATAGAGGAAGAAACAGAAGTCTAAGACTTTTGCAGGAACTAGGACATAGAAAATTGAACTCCCAAAGTCAGGCACCTTCACCACTCTGCCTTAATAGTAGTTACCAAAACTCAAATGCCTATATACAGAGATTTAGCACATCATGTACATTAATCTCTTCCAATCCTTATGACAGTCCCAATGTAGTAAGTGTTATTGCTCTTATTTTTCAGATGCGGAAATGGTGATTTTAAGCTAAGTCACAGAGTTCAGAAAGAAGAGCCGAATGAGCTGTAGTGTGGGTCTCACACCAAAGGAGCGTCGCCGAGTGATTAATAGTGAGGACTGTGCAGTGCTTTCGAATCCTGCTTTCACCGTTCAATAGTTGGTAATTTGGAGCCTGTTCCTTAACCTGGCTGAGTCTTTATTCCCTCAAAATTGGGGATAATAATAGTACCTATACAACAGAGCTGTTGTGAAGATTACCTAAGATACTCCATGTCACAGCCTTTAGATATAATAAGCACTCAACAAATCATAGCTTATATTCTTCTGCTCCTCTATACAGACACCCTATATCTCTAATACCTTGGAAATTTCATCAGGACAACGGAACATCCCTACCATTTTATGAATAAAGAGGCGAGTAGTATCTGCTGCAAGCCAGATAATTTGTGTATGTCCTGAAGTACTGTCTCTCTGCCAGCCCCTTATTCCAAGTCCTGCCCAGTGGTGAACAGGCTCCACATGCACATGGCACTGTGGCAGAAGCACATGGTGTCAGCATCTTCCCCACAACAGGGAACTCCAAAAATACCCTCCCATCCTGTGGAAATGTGAAAGCAAAATGGATACAATTTAGAGGGAAATAATAGCATTACAGCAACCATTTATTGATGTTGCTATTATTTTCACATCTGTAGCTTAGTATTGTCCATCATGTACATTAATCTCTTCCAATCCTTATGACAGTCCCAATGTAGTAAGTGTTATTGCTCTTATTTTTCAGATGCGGAAATGGTGATTTTAAGCTAAGTCACAGAGTTCAGAAAGAAGAGCCGAATGAGCTGTAGTGTGGGTCTCACACCAAAGGAGCGTCGCCGAGTGATTAATAGTGAGGACTGTGCAGTGCTTTCGAATCCTGCTTTCACCGTTCAATAGTTGGTAATTTGGAGCCTGTTCCTTAACCTGGCTGAGTCTTTATTCCCTCAAAATTGAGGATAATAATAGTACCTATACAACAGAGCTGTTGTGAAGATTACCTAAGATACTCCATGTCACAGCCTTTAGATATAATAAGCACTCAACAAATCATAGCTTATATTCTTCTGCTCCTCTATACAGACACCCTATATCTCTAATACCTTGGAAATTTCATCAGGACAACGGAACATCCCTACCATTTTATGAATAAAGAGGCGAGTAGTATCTGTTGCAAGCCAGATAATTTGTGTATGTCCTGAAGTCCTGTCTCTCTGCCAGCGCCTTATTCCAAGTCCTGCCCAGTGGTGAACAGGCTCCACATGCACATGGCACCGTGGCAGAAGCACATGGTGTCAGCATCTTCCCCACAACAGGGAACTCCAAAAATACCCTCCCATCCTGTGGAAATGTGAAAGCAAAATGGTTACAATTTAGAGGGAAATAATAGCATTACAGCAACCATTTATTGATGTTGCTATTATTTTCACATCTGTAGCTTAGTATTGTCCTTAAAATATGGTATTTTAAGCAGTAGTAGTGCATCAACATTTCTAGTTTAGACTGTGGGTCATGAAAGTTCCATAATTTATCTATCACGTAAAGCCATCTGAACCCCATTAGAATCGTGGAATGGAGATTTCATAGCAAATAAAAATGCTTTATCATTTAAACAAAATCATCATGTGCAAGTGAACATAGAGGTAAGAAAGTGCTAAGTTTGTAACTCCTTACCCTTACTCTTCTATCTCTGGTTGAAATTCTAAACTTACACGAGAAGAGACCTTCAACAGCCACATCATCAATCTGCTACAAAAGCTGGTGTTAGTGTCTTGATTTTCTTATCTGCCAAGAGGAGGAATAATTCTGAGGTTCCCAGGGTAGTGTTTGAATAGGCACAGGGCAAACAGCTGGCAAAGTGCTCTCAGTTGGGGGGTGGGGGTGGTGGGCAGCAAGAAGAAGACTTCTTTAAGTAAGATAGCCAGCGCATGTTTCCCCTTTGACTCCAAAGTCCTCTCCTGGATCTCTGAATATTGCTTGAGAAAACCTATGGCAACCTGTTTTCTAGATCCAGGGTGACACATCCTTTAGTATTAATTTCTTAAGGAAATTAAAGGAAACTATGGCTATGCCTGTTTCCATGGTGCCAAACATCTGGATGAAGGTTGGGGGAAGGGAGTCCCTTGGACAGGCCCTGTGTCCTCATTTGCTTGTGGCCTGGAGGGCTGGCGACTGTGAGTAAACTGGCAGGCTTTCTAAGAGGGCATCACCCTGGGAGAGAAGCTGAGTGTCAAGTGGAGGGTTTTACACACTGTAGGAAAATGCTCCCACCATGTCATCTGGCTGTCTGAAGGCCCTGAGCCTGTGGGGTTTACCCTCTTTTTCCAGATTCATGAGCAAGACAGAGACTGTTAATGTTTAAGAGCCAGTAAATAATCAGTCGTGTAGCATTTTGCATTAACGCAGTCCTGTTGTTCATGGTTCCATATGTAGCCAGAGGCAAGGAACAGATGAATCCCATAGGTCCTCATGGGCTGCAGGGTTTCTGACCATTATCTTGGCCTTCTAGTGACAGCTTTTCTTAATAGAGAATGACTTCTCTACCCCCAGTATCACTTCATCATTATCTTCATCATCATCATCATTGCCACCACCACCACCAACGACAACATAATATGATTGAGAGCTTACTATCTTCAGGCACAAAACCAAAGGCTTTAAGTTATCATTTCATTTAACCTACAATAACCTTTGAAGTTGATACCATTACAGTCTTCTATAAATCAGGGACCCAAGGTTAAGTGAGTTGACCAAGGTCACCAATATAGTACGTGACAGATAAAGCAAATAAAAAGCCTACGAATATTGATCAGTATGCGGCTAGGTAATCCAGGCCTAACATGAATGAATGAATGAATAAATGAATGAATGAATGAACAAATAATTACAAAGGTCCGTTCTGACTTGACTCACTTCAGTGACTCTTGATAATCTTGGGAAACAGAAGCCTTTGGCAAAAGAGCTAAACTTGGGTTTAAATTTCAGATATGTTACTTTCTAGATGTGTGGCCTTAGGCTGATGATTATATCTCTGAGCTTAATTTTCTATCTGTAAAATGAAGATATTAGCCACACAGATATTAACTGCAGATTTTTATAAACATTCTTATGTGTAACAGATAAAGTGCATATTTCTTTTTTTTTTTTCCTTTTTGTCTTTTTTCGTGTCC